TATATATATATATAATGTGATGCTTTTTAAATGTGGGGCAGTTTTCTCCTGCTGTGTTTGTGTGCGGGTGCAGATGTGGCGGATAAAGTCAGGCTAATTCCTCACACACTCGTTGCTGTTCTCCATCTGCTGACGGTTTTATTTCTGTCTGATGGAAAACAGAAAGGCAGGCAGCAGATGGACACAGCAACCTTTCAGCTCATCAGAAAAGCGGGTCAGAGTTTAAAAACACGTGTTTCATACTGAATTTGACACTTTGATTTATGGACACGTGACAGTGACACACTCAGCAGGTTTGTATGGATCTCAGTGTCACTGATGTTCCTTCACTCTGTGGGGAGCACACATTGATGTATTAGAATAAACCTTCCTCCACGTTGCTGTTGGAGCCAAAGGTGAACATATTTAACTGACATAAATGCTTATCAATTAAAAACTGCATTCTGTATTTGCTCGTGACACCGGGGGCAGAGACAGACCCATCTGCATCCACAGACTGCACACGAGCATCACACAGACTCCGGCTAATTAGTGCTCAGTAACATCCAATTAAAATTCAAGAATGTCACTCACCAAAACTGGAGCTCAGACTTGTTGGATGTTTGTTGGTAGCCTACAATTAACTGCAACACATCTCATCTTATTTTAGTCTCAGTGGTGGATGTGACGCCCTGCAGGAGCTGCAAGTCACGGCATTAATCTTCCTTTATTCATCCTCAGATATTTACTGCTTCAGATCTCCATCATGGTTTCCAATAAAATATTTAATATTGTATGAATTTCTAACAGTGTCCTTGCTGAGTTGAACCTGAAACTCTGATCTTCTTCTTGCTGTCACTTCCAGGTTCTGCAGTTTTGCCGTGTAGGCGGTGCTGTCACGTGTCAGGTAACAATCAGGCTGCAGTTTGATTTATATTCATATGATAAATCTGTAGCATGAAAACGCCTCAGAGCAAACAGCAACAATGGTGATTGGTTGGTCTGCATGAATCAGGATGTCATCATCGTGGACCGCTGTGTGGCAGGCAGGAAGTGAAGATCCAGGTGACTTCCTTCTTGAGTTATCACAGTTCAGCTTTACATTTAATAAATCTGAAAGATTTTTCTTCAGTATTCTTATGAAAGTTATCTGCACATTTATGGGTGAAGAACAAGGAAACTTTCAGCTTCTTCTGATTGGTTTAAATGAGCCTCACAGTGGCGCTGATGGAGACGTCATCTGGTACTGAGATAGTCCAGCTCGTGGACCACCGTCGTGACCCTGCCGCCTCCAGAGGTCAGGACCTGCATTCTTGAAGGAGAGCATTGTGTTGTTTAGAGGAAGTGGCGTCACCTCATTCATTCTTCTTATCACGATCCTTTCAGGGCGGCGAGGCTTGAACGACAGTGGCCCGGAATGGCCGTCAAACCTGAGCTGCCATTCTTTGAAACACAATATAAACTTCCTGTGTTGAGGCAGCGCGGCGGGGCCTCGACACCCACGGCAAACTGGAGCGACATGCTCACATTACTGTTTCAGTAGACCTTTAAATCCTTCAGCAGCGGCAGAGGACAGAACCGAGTGCAGAGAAAAGGCCGAGGAGGGAAGATGGATGTGACGGATGAAAGGAAGTGCCTCTCCCTGCTGGGGCCCCTTCTGCTCTGAAACTGGCTCCTATCACACGATCTTTCCCACCACAGAATCCTGCATCCAGAGCTCATTCAAAGACAAACTGCGTGTTTAGGTAAGGCCCCCACCCCACCCTGCCAGCTTCCTTTGCATTTTAACAGCAGAGACTCAGAATCAGCCGTAAAATGTGGCTGCTTACTTTGAAAGGTGACAGAAGTTTCTGTTCAGTGTCTCTGGGTCAGAGCTAACCTTTGCCCCGCCCACTAACCTGAACAGCTAAGCGACTAACAAACATCTACCTTAATAAAAAGATCAAAGGTCACCCTCGTATCAAATCAGGACTTTGTGTCCATGTTTTCTGTCTGATCTGGTTCATGTGGGCTGCTGAGATCCCGGGTCAGAGTGGGCTCGTGTTCCCAGTGTGTCGCCCACAGTGACTGCTGCCTGCTCCAGTCCATCCGCAATACAACATTCACAGTTGCATCCCTAAGCGTCCTCAGTCACATGGGCCTGAAGCCGGTCTGCTAGGGAAAAACGGACGTTCCTGACTGGTTGTGAGTGGGTGCTGGTTGTTGCTAGCTTAAATTAGTTGCAAAGAAGCTGCACCAAAAGCCTGCTGGTCACCGCCACAGTCGCTCATAGCTTGTGTGGAACTCACCAAGTCAACCTTTGGAAAGAAACCAAAAGCTGCACTTGTGAAACATGTAGTGTCTCCACTTCTCAGTGAGCTGTTAGGGACTGTGCGTCTGCCCAAAGCTATCAGACACAATGCAGACGCCGCTCTGCAACTTCAACTAGCAGCCGCCAGCAAACACTCCCCAACTGCTCTGTGAGTCTCAGTCACACCAACTTATCTAAAGTCGGTGTGACTGAGGTCTAAGTGTCAGCCTTTGGCTCGGGGTAGAAACATCTAGAAACGCTTCCAGCTGTAATTAGTTTTTGTCTTCGTCTCGCTGTAACAAACGAATTAGGTCTGTGCACAGGATGAAACATCTGAAAAGGGATACCGCCGCAGATGTCCCTTTAACTGGCATTATTTCTAATGACCAGCAGGGGGCGACACTTGTGTGTACATGATAATCGTTTGTTTTCAGGATCTTCTTCTTAGTTTAAGAGAAATCTCATCTGTCATCATGTCTCATTTTGAAAAGACTGACTCTGTGTGATGCATTTAGAGAAGTCTGTCAAATCTAAATCATGTAAACTGACTCTGGTTCCCTCCCATCACCTCGTCTATCTCAAACATCTTTAATAACACTCGTATATATTTCTAAATCTCAGCGTAATAAACTGACTTCCTTTTAAGTCAGCCTGGAAGGATGAGTGGGTATTGCTCACCAGCAGAGAAGGATATGAAGACTTAACCTCGTAACCTTCACAGTTCAAAATCATTTCCAGGCCGCGCAGCTCCACAGAGCCTCCGCTTCCCAGTCCAAACAAACACAGCAGCTTCTAAACTTCACGAGTTAAAAATGTCTCCTGTCACAATGTTTCACAATTGTTTTATTCATTTAAAGCTTTGTTTTCAATACAGACGTAATGAATCCACGGCAGCGTCAATAAAAATCACATTTAACAGGATAAAGTCTGAGTGGACAGAGAGATCGGTCATCACTGTGATGTGTTCACAGCTGACATTACACACAGGAGTTATTCTCAATATCAGAGATCTGATCAATCTAAATGTTGAATAAAACCATAAATGACTTATTCTGATTGATTCTCAGAGGACTTTCTCAGGGGTTTAAGGACTTATCACACGTCTAATTGAATTTGTTCATAAAAAGTCATTTTATGGACGTAACCGTGACCTTTTTTGGCTTTTGTTAAACTTTTTTAACCTTGACTTGTGGACCTGCTGTAACGTGAAGCTCCACACTGTGGGTTACTAAAGTCTGCACCAGCCTGAGGCTCGGGTGCAGTCGGCGTTCATCATGGCATCTGGTATTGTTGTGTTGCTTGTGTGACACGAAAACACCTCGTTAGCGTTCAGTAACCTTTAAAACATGGAAGCAGTCCGTGATGGACGGTTCTTCCAGTTTTCCCAGCAGAGAATAATCAGCTAGATCATGCTGACTGTTTCCTCTACCTGTTGCTCGTAGGTGGATAATTAGCAGGAAACTGTGAACACGCTCAGATATTTCTGGATGGCTGAGTTTTATAACTCTGCACCGAGTCCTCCAATGACTCCAGCGTTCCCGTCAGATTCCAGTTTTAGCCGGACTCTGCTGCTGGCAGCAGGAAGGCTTCGGCTCTGACTGACAGCCGGCCTCATTAGCGATCGGCGAGCTGTCAGCAGCAGCTGCAGCTCGTCTACTGACAGGTAATCGCACCTGCCGACACTCTGAGCTCGCGCGCTAACGAGGCTTCTCGTTTCGTGTTTGCAGCACAAACCACGGCAGCTCCAGGTGAGAGCTCTCGTTCCACCTCAGGAGCAAATTAAAACTCCTGAGAGCTGCCGAGCTCTCTGAGGCACACTGTGTCACTGTGTCTGAGGAGGATGTGTGGAAGTGCTTCAGGAAGGTGAACGCGCGCAAAGCTACTGGTCCGGACGGGATTCCCGGCCG